CTCTACAACTTTTGTTAGAAGCCAAAGAGTGATTTACTTAGTATAAAAAAAAGTTTTAGATAGAGATGCTGTGCATTCACACTTATAGTAAAATTTATATACAGTAATATAAAAATTTAAAATTTTTTTAGTTTTTTTTAGCTTCTTTTAAGAATTAGATTAGAATTTATAATTAGTACTATATTTATAATAAAAAGTATAAATAGATTTAATAATGTTTATATTTTTTAATCAAAATTGATCAAGCTGTTAATCAATAAAAATTTGCTAGTCAAAAGATTTCTGGTTAAGCTAGTTTATTATATAAATTAGTTAAATATATTTTTGTTATATAAATATATTGATGTTTTTATTACAGTATACAGTATATATGTCGTGTCTCAGACTAACGCTTGCCTCAGATGTCAATCGGCCTAAGTTAGGATAGGGTTAGGGAACTTAATTTAGGTCAATCAATGTCGATCAGTTAATGCGGGCCAAAAAGTCGACGACGCAAGCATTAATCTGAGGCTAAGATTATATTTAATAAAACTGCTAATATGGCTTCTTTTTTCGAAGAGGTTATATTTTAAAATAGACAATCAATAAATATATTATATATAATAAATCTTATATTTGAAATATGCTAATAGAAATTTAAAAAAAAGAATTTTTTTTTTTTGGCTATGGTACTGTATTTTTTATTTTTTCTTAGAACCATGCTATGCCACGATAAACAAACATATAAGATTGAATTATATATTATATATATAAATAATATACATCAATATAAAAATGCTAACAAAAAAAATTTTTTTGCTACGTAAAATATATAACCTCATATATTATTCGGGAGGCAGGTCATAACTAAAAATAAGCGATATATAATCTATCGCTGTTACATATTTCCTTGGATATCGTATGATAATAAATACGTAGGATGATGCTGGAACTTAGTATTGTACAAACCAATGCACGTTTTAACGTGATTATAAAACAGACCCAAATTTTCAGCTACGTATTATCGTTATGCATTCTGTAATATATATATATATATAGTAATTTAGACGGAGTGCTCCGGAGTAATATGCTAACCACAATCTGCGATTGTTTATGATTATCGATAAGCATGAATCATATGACTTAGTGTTAAGATGACGCCACTCGAATCGTATGATTTACGTAATAAAATTTAAGGCAACGCCTATGACGAAAAGTTAAAGCCCTTTTTATATAAATATCGAGCTTTTTTTAGACTAACGATAGTGATGGTTAATCATTTTTTTCTTTTAATTAAAAACTACATAAAAAAATAAAAAGGATGCCATTATTTTATGCAACTAATAGAAGGACTATCGAATCTGCCCTTCCTCAAGCCATTTATTTGGGCTTAGAAATGGATTACAACAAAGAAACCAATGAAGTCGAGTACTCAATTTGCACAAACGACGGCAATTATTCTATTGATTTTGAAGTTTCATCAATTGATGTTTCGGATATCTCAAAGAAAGAAAGTCATAAGAATGTGGAATATATAGAAAGAATTACTAAAATAATCTTTGAAAAAATTCTTGCTTATGCAAAATCTCAGAATTATAAAATTCATGCTATTGGACTTGGCGCTCATATAAAAAACCGAGAATCAACAGGCCAGATAAATGGAAAGAATGCTAAAGCATTATTGTTTGAAGCACAAGGTCTGGCATCTAAGCTGTGGCTAGAATATGATATTCTACCGTTTATTATTGGAACAAGAGGAAGAAGCATAGATGAACGAGCTTGTTCAGCAGTTAGAAAAGCTGTTATTTGGTAATTAAATGTAATTATGAAAATTGGATGTGAAAAAAAAAGGATTATTTGCAAATTAGCCAATAGAATTATTTATTTTCACATGATCTACAAATTAATAAAAAAATATAAAAAATTCTATTTTATCTTTGTAGGCTATGTCCACAAATGCCTGGATCAATTCCAAGAATTTCGGTTGGATACAGACATGAAGTTGAGGTTGACTTAAATGGAATGATTAAATTAGTAGATCTAGTACATTATGAAAATACTGTGTGTCCAGAAACATGGAAAATTTTATTACAACTTGTTGACCAATTAAAATCCAAGGGGATTAAAGCTTCATTTTTTAACGCAACACCTCAAGGCGGTGGGGGTAAAAATTATATATCTTATTTTTTTTAAATTGTGGTTGATATTTAAGATCGGATAAAGAATTCTTTTATTTGATTTAGTTGCTCTTATGCGTCATGCGCTTATTCGACTTTGTCGTCTCTTAAAACTGGATATTCATTGGTATGTAGCCAAGCCGAGGCCTGAAATTTTTGACATTACGAAAAGGAAATTCCACAACATTTTGCAGGTACATTTAATAACAATTGTACAAGTATTTTTAGTATATGTAAATATATTTTCACACTTTTCACACGTAACACAGGGCGTAGGTCCTTCTGACGCACGTCTAACGCAGGATGATAAAGATGCATTTATAGCTTGGTCAGATAACAATGTTGAACGCTTTTGGGATGATGAAGATGGGCCAATTAAAACAAGTGATGTTATTATTATTGACGACCCGCAAGGTAAAATTTAAATTACAAATTCATTCTTTAAAACACTAAATACGATAATATAGTACTTTTTTTTTTACATTAGTGTGTGGTATCATTCCACATATTAAGAAATTAAATCCAACTTGTAAAGTCATTTTTCGTAGTCATATAGAAAGTAAGCTATTATGCTATGCAATCAAATTAATAATGTCGTTTTATAGATAGATAACATTCTTAAATATTTATATATTTATATATACATAGTTTGCGCTGATCTCATTAGAAATAATCCAACTGGTCCCCAAGCAGAAGTGTGGGATTTTCTTTGTGGATTTATTTCTCAAGCTGATCTCTTTGTATCACATCCTATAGCAAATTTTGTACCAGATAACGTTCCCAGTGAAAAAGTGCGTTATTTCTCAATTGTCAACTATTAATTAATGTAATGGGTCACCTAAATTTATGATTTGTTTTTAATACTAGGTTGTCCTTCTTCCGGCGTCTACAGATCCATTAGATGGATTGAACAAAGAATTAAGTGAATTGGATCTAAATTATTATAAAATGGTTTATAATAGATTATCTATCGATCAATGTGGTGTTGTGATTGATTTTAATAGGCCTTATATTATTCAAGTTGCAAGATTTGATCCCAGTAAAGGTATATTTAATAAAGTTAGTAACTTAAACATATTGAACGATTTAAATAAATAAGGAATAATTCTATTTAGGCATTCCACTTGTAATTGAATCATTCAAGATATTTCGTGACAAACTTAAAAAAGAGGGCTGGCCCTCTGAAAAAATGCCTTCACTAATAATTTGTGGTGCTAGTAGCATTGATGACCCAGATGGTAGCCCAATTTTTGAGCAAACCTGCATGTTATTGCAGCGGCCCAAATATTCTGACATTGCAGATGATGTTTCAGTTGTTCGTCTTCCAGCATGTGATCAGATATTTAACGCTATGTTAAGGTGTGCTCGTGTCGCGTTGCAGCTCAGTACGAGGGAAGGATTTGAGATTAAAGTCACAGAAGCCTTGGCTAAAGGTATTTTAAACACATTTGGTATAGATTTATTTAGCATTTTATTTGATATTTTATTTATAGTTTTTTTTTTTTTATCCATTTGCAGGTGTTCCAGTAGTGGCATTTAAAGCTGGTATGAAAATCACAGTGAATTCTTTGGTTTAGATTTTATATTTTTTTGTAATACTTACATTCAGTAAACTTTTGTATTTATTAAGGTGGTATCCCACTTCAAATCAAGCATGGAGAAACTGGATTTCTCGTTGATATTGGCGATACAGCTCAAGTAGCAAATCATTTATTTGCTTTATTTACAAATGATGAGTTATATAAAAAGATGTCGTTTTTAGGAAGATCATCTTTAAATGAACAATATTTTACAGTTTTTCAAACAGTAAATTGGTTATATTTGATTGACACACTTGCATCGATAAGATGGAAAAATATGACAAGCAAAACTAATGATGTTGTGATAGGAAATGCTAAATGGGTTAAAGATCTTTGGACAGAACAATTTGGGTTAAATAACTTGGGACAGAACAATATGGATTCACATCTTTGAAGAGATTTTAAGTGTATGTGAGACATAAGGATAATGGTAACGAATAATTTCTACAGTTAATTACTATACCAGATTTAGAAATCTGGTAATTAATTTATTTATTTATTCGATCCGTATAATTAATAAAATTTATATATATCATATTTAATTAATTTATTTAATTTAATTATGTATAACTCGATCTATATATCGATTTTAATTCCCGTTGGTTATTAATTGGTATGTGTTAGAGATACACCAGCATACATTTCACAATTCATATGGGTCTATGACCTTATGGGACATAGTAATTACTGTATCCCATAGGGTCATTTTCAAGGCGAAAACCCCATATGACTTCGCGTGAAGTGCGAGGTTACCCAAAATTTAAGTTTACGGACTATAGTTCAATCTTCTTTTATATTTGATAAATTATTAATCCTTCGCACGAGACATGAGTAATAATCTAAACCGTCTAAAAAACCGACCGGATCAACTGTCGGTTGAGCAATAAGCCAACTGGTTGAGAATCGGTTGGTTAAAAATCGGGCTAACTATCGGTTGAACGACAAGCCAATCGGTTGAGAACCAGTATGGCTAAAAAGTATAATATACCATCTAATGTCTACCAATAAGCCCAAACGCGTTTTAAACATCTATTATATTAAGGTTAAACCATTAAATTTGAATTTAATTAGAACTTTCAAATTCAGTAAATAAATCATAATGAAATCGGATCAAAATGAAATGTGTTTCTATTTAACCTTCCAGAACCCACTTATACTTGTTTATTATGAACTCTACCCTAAAACTAACCTCTAATCCAAACCTCTAACCCTACAAAATGCATCTCAAAAATTTTTATTTTTCAGTGGCTTATCTATTTTTTACATTGTACAATATCTTATTTTAATAAGAGTAGAGGGTACTATTTTAAAATTATATACAGTCAAACCTCTATATAGTCACCATCTATATAATCACAAAACCAATATAATCACATTTATCTATTTATCGATCTTTTTAATATTTGTTTCACTTCTGTATAGTCACTATTATATTATAGTCACTATCACGAATTTTTATTAACGGCCTATATAAATTATTCTCTATAACATCACATTTTAAATTAGCTAAATAATATAACCAATCAGAGTGAGCTATGAATTATAAATAGCCGGGGGACTGCCGGGGGTAGTGCTCTCCATTGAGCCGGCTCAAATAGGCTCATAGAAATTTTGGTCTGGCTAGGACCCCGAAGAACTCTGATGCAACTCATATGTTACCAAAAAAGGAAATTTTGCATAGAAAATCATTAAACATTGCTTTTTTATACATATAGTAAATTTTTAAAATTTGCTTTATTTTATATATATATTTGGTCAAATTTATACAAACTTTATACAAACTTAGATCAGAGTTCTTCAGAGTCCTGTTTTGGCTTGAAAGGCTCACAAGCCTGCATCCACTTATTTATACCAGTAATACAAACCTTTAAAAAGGAAATAGCCAATTGGAGAACGTAAAATATGATGATTCCAGATCAGCCCAACACATGAGCAAAGTGAAGAAAAACACTGAAAAAAAGAAAATACTCAAAAATCAGTGTTTAAATCAACCTTTTTGAACTAATAAAAAATAACAGGAATGGAATTTTATATATAAAAAACTCAAATTATCACTAAAAGCTCACAACCCTAATACTAACCCTAACACTAACCCTAATATCCTAATTCTAAACTTTCTTAGTTTATTTACAAATGCAATTTTCTTTTTTGGATTGTATTACCAGCGCAAATAAGTAAATTGCATGAGCCTTAGTACAAATCATGTGACTATATCACATGACTTTTATATGATTTTTGTCAAATCAAAATATAATTGTTATGTGAAAGTCATATAAAAACTACGTGATAAATGTCATATGATTTGTACTAAGGCTCATGAGCAGGGCCTCTAGAAAATTTTGATATTATTTTGAAAAATTGTTTGGTAACGACCAAATATTGTTTTTTATTGTGATATCAAATTTAGTATCATTTTTGCTGATCAAAACATATCGTATTGATTCTAAAAAGTAATTCTCATATTCGCTATTTAATTTATACTACATATACTATATGTTACCAAATAGAAGCAACCAAAATGTTGCAAAAAAAATGAGAACTTTTTCGAGCCAAAATGAAGAGGTTGCTTTTATTTGAGTACAATTTTATTAGTAAAACATAATAACTGTAATTAAATTTTTGGCTCCAAAATCTGAGAGGTTGCTTTTATTTAGGGTTGCTTTTAGTCGATAATATACGATATATTTAAATCATGTCTAACTACATCTTCAGAAGACTTCTAATAAATTAATACACAAAATACAAAATAAGATCTTTGTTATTAAGGTTTAAACTTAATAATTATACATAACTTTTTTGAATATCTTAACTATTATTTTATAAATATTCTGAATTTTTATTTAATATTCATTTTTTTAAAATCATGTTATTAAATTTTTATGTATATATCAGAAAATATAAATGTACTTCTTTCTGCACATGAAGTTACATACAAATATGCAAATGTAATTGGTGGACAAAAATAGTTAACCAATTAAATTTGTGGTATAACCTCATATGCATGAAAAAAAAATAAAATTGTTTTATAATGTGATATTCAGTAAAAATTGTGATTTATTGTTTTCTAATCTTTTCGAAATTTTCTAGGGGCCCTGCTCACGAGCCTTTCAAGCCAAAAATGAGCTGAACCAAAATTTCTATGAGCCTATTTGAGCTGGCTCAATGGAAAGCATTAGCTGGGGGTATACATTTTACTATTAAAAAACTTAATAAATTTTTTGTTAAACATAAATTATATAATTAAGAAACCAGGTTTTACTAAATTCTTGACTTTGGGTATATGGCCATTTTGGTAACAGGTATATACATACATATATACCAGTACTGCAGTATATGCACGCGCTTACCAGGTGATAACCTTCCTAAATAAATTCCGTTAAGCAGCGAAACTAGAGATTTGAACAACTATATTTTCAAATACAAAGGCTAAGTTTGCAGTTGTTACTGTTCTAACTAGTATCGATCACACTCTTAGCGTTCAATATTTCTTAAGCTAGAGTTTTTTTTTTTCCTATTGAAATTACAGTTGGTAAAGTTTTACGAATACACTCAGCTTTTCAGAAAATATTTATTACCTAGTAGAATCAAGCGTTACAGAGTACAACTTTACAAGTTCAATATACAAAGATAAAAACATTATATGTAATCCTTTTGTTCTAAAAAAAAATTTTTTTTAACTAAAGTAATTTATAACATTTAAGTTATAATTACTTCAATAATTAAAAACCAAGAAAAAACAAAATTGAAAGTTGCTTTTTATTTTTAGTCTTTTCATAACACCATTTTTTAAGTTTTTTTCTTAGCATTATTAGTTTATTTTCTTTGAACTCCTTTCTAACTTCAAGACTTTTTTGATATCTAATAACTTTTTCTAATGCTTTTGTAGCTTCAGTAATAGTTATTAGAGAAAGAAGAGGATCTTCTTCATCATTGTCTTCAGTTTTTTCAGCTTCTTTATCAAAATTGTAATTCACCATCTTAATAATACCTATATCTATTAATACATCCTCAGTTATAGCTAGTTGATTGATTAGGTTGGTATATTCTTTAATATTACTTATTAATTTATGAACTTCTTGATTACTCTCAATTGTATGATCTTCAATTAGCATGTTAATATCATAATCAGAGATTATATCTTTAGATTCGTTTTTTGGCCTACTTTCTTTTTGTTCACTTTTTTCTGATTTACTTACTTCTGGCATAATTCCAGTGGCCTTTTAGCAATTTTTTATAGTGGTATCACTAACTTTATTTCACATATCAAAAATAAAGTTGATAGCTTGTCATATAGTAAGTTTTCTATACAATATTTACAAAAAGTTAGTGCAAGGAATAATAAATATAATATGTTTGATTAATTAGTTGATTAAACACCTAAACCAAAATTTTTACTTTTGTTCCTCATTCTTTTCAAATTGAGAGAGCAAGCAATAACAATAGAGTTTTTTATATTTCAACTTAAAATATTTTATTACACCGGTATCTATGGGTTGAATGTGGGCGATTATATTAGACGGAAGGAAGTACATAGCGATATTTGTAAGATAAGAGTAATCTGGGACCTTTTTTCAAGATTTTTCTTGGAACCTTCCTTGAGATCTTTCTTGGGAACTTCCTCGAGACCTTCTTCAAGACTTTCTTTGAAATCTTCCTCAGGACCTTCCTTGTAGCTTTCTTTTGGATCTTTCTTGAAGTTCTAGTTCTTCAGAGTCTTCAGGCTCTTTAGAATTTTCAGGTTTTTTGGGCTCTTCAGATTCTTTATTATCACTTGAAGATTGGTTTTCCTTTGATGACATGTAGGAAGATGCATTATCAACCAGAAGCAAAACTTTTTTATTTTGAATATGAAAGCCAATATCAATAAACTTCAACTATTCTTTTTATATATTGCTTTTCATCCATGCTTTTTTGCTGTCTTGATAATCAACCAGTAATTGCAATCGATTTACTTTATTAAAAGATTATGATTTTTTAGAAAAACCAATAACCAATAGACAAAATTTGTAAAAACCAGTCAAATTGAAACAAAATAATATAGTTACTCTTGATTTGTTCTAAAAAAAATTTATTTAAAAATTTATTTTAATTTTTTTTGTTTTTTTTTGTTTTTTGTTTTTTTAACTTACTCTTTTTTTTTCTAGCTATAGCTACTATATATTAGAAATAGTTTAATTTGAAAGTAATTAGTAGAACAGGCCTGTTTTGTCAGTATTATATATATCTTTTGGATTATACTAAGAAAGAAGCTCTTGTAATTTGACACGTTCTGTAGATAGGTTTTCTATAGATACGCTTGCTGCCTCACCATGTAGTACTATTTTTCTTAATCTATTTTGCTTTTTAAACTTAGTGATCATCTATTTGAAAATGCGAGAGATTCTTCAGATATACTAAATTCTTTTGCAAAATGGTAGCCTTTCTCTTTAATTATTGAATCTGATATAATTATTTTATTGGCTGTAATCTGCTCTATCTATATATTCATAGCAAGTTCTAACTTTGAATGCCTCACTAAACAATAATAAAAGGTTCTTTCAGCTTGTTTATTATTTTTGATTTTATCATACTTATTAGCATGGTTTAATATTTTTGTTATAGTCAAACGTTCAATATTTAAATTTGGATAATATTTTATAAACTCTTGTACTATTTCTTGATGTCGATATAATGAATTTTTTTTTACAATTTCACATATTTCTTTTTTTTGCATATCACTAATGTGACTATATATTTTTTTAGACACTGATTGAGAAGGCTTAATGCTTAAACCAAATTATTGAAAAGCTATATACTATAAGTTGATGTTATGATATTTAAGGCTTTATAAATTTTTTTTTATTTTTTACAGATGCTATCTATTAATTTATAACAAATATAGTATAAGAGGCTAAATATAAGAAAAGCTAAGAATATATATCTAAATTAATAAAACTTTATACAAAATGATAAGCCAGATACATAATCAACAATTATATATAGATGTTATACAATAAAAAAGGGAGAAATCTGAAATGTAGTAACTTAGTATAGTAGTTTAGTCATCACTCTTTCCAAGTGGCAGGTCTAAAGTTCAAATCCCATAGACAACGAATTTTAAAAAATAGCCTGTGCTACAGTTTACGGTTATCGATATCGGTTGGATTTAAAAATCTGTAATCTCAGTTACATTATCTAGTTATGAGAGTTTTGGCACAATAAATTTGAGAAACCAGAATAACCGAAAATCTATTTGGCAAGTCCCAAATTTGGAGGTAGCAGTGATTTTTAACGGTATCACAAGAGGGCTGAATTCAAACCGGGGTCTAAAATTGGAGAACTGAGTAACCAGATTTACTAGTAGAGAATACACTAGCTGAACCGCTGGATTGTCGCACCGGAGAAAAATGACATATGGTCCGAAAGTATAAACCAAGAGGATGGTGTCCTAAAGCCTGAGCAAACTGACTTTTCCGGGTTGCCGGCTGAAAGTAAGGAAGAGACCAATAAAAAATCCAGGTAAGAAGATAATTTAAATGTGAATATCAGGGTTATTGTGAACTGAATAAAGGCAAGAAGTACATAATAGGTGCCTAGTTAGGAAAGTTGGTGCTTGAGTTATATCCGTAAAATAGCAGTACCCCAAAAGGTAGTATGAGATATGAATACAGAAAAGCAGGCCAATATATACTAATTAGGAAGAAGTTATAGAAACATGCAAGTAAATATATATGTGGAACATGTACCGCTCTGTTAGGTTTACTTTGAGGATAGACTAGCCAGAAATAGTTGGTAAGTCCTAAGGCAGTCAGTAATCCTTTGCCAGGGTGATACCAAAATCCATATATAAATGGTGAAGAAACCCAGGATTAGGTAGTTAACCGGTGGCAGTTGTAACTAGATGGTTTAAATAGATACTCTCCTAGTTGGAATGCAGGTATGGCAGATAGTATAGAACCTTCGGGCAGACTACTTAAATTAGACACTCAAAAAGTACATGTGTGACTTGATGTACCATTGTTGTAATTGTATATAAAACACCATTTCAAATCTTAATAAAAGCTTTCAGGCCAAAGAGATCTCTTTAACTTTAAAAAAAAAAAAAAAAGGAAGAAATTTGGTTAGTTTGACTAGATTTTCCCTTTTTTATTAAACAGTATCTAATATGTATCTCTTTAGTAAATAAAGTACTTCGATTTATCTACAATATAGGCACTTATTAAATATTAATGGGTATCTATAAGCTGTACTAATTAAATTTATATAAAATGTAATCCTATATCTATATTTGATTTTAGTATATTTAAAAATTTGATAATTTAATAAAAGTTATATTAATAAGTTTAAAAATTATAACTCAATTTTTTTTTTGCTAAAGTAGTAAAAAAAAGTAATATTATTGCAAATAAAAAAATTTTATTTGATTAAAAAGTTTTTTTCTGTAATAAAAGTTGTAAAGCTAAATTTTCTAAATTTAATGATAGTAAAATCTTTTTTTTTTTAAAAAAAAAATTTCGGTAGTCTTTATTAGGTTTAATAATATTATACTTTAAAATATTAAATTTTTCAGAGAGCTATTCTTTCTAACACCTAATTTACAAGTATCAGCTCACCCGGTTGTTCAATGAATATCTATGTGCGACCTGCTATAGTAAGGTTTATCTCTATATTGATTTACCTTGCAAACAAGTTCATCAATATTTCATCGGATAGTTCTTACGGTCTGTTAAGACTACTAATCTATTTTCCACCATTCTATCCTATGCCCGCCTTTTATCCAACTCAAAACTTCATTTTTTGCTATATCTAAAATTGATTCCTATCTTGTATCAGCTTTATTCTTTTGTTTTTTTTTTCTGTAGGTCTTATCGATTGGAGATTTCTTCTCATCTGCCCTCATTTTTCTTTTCTTCTTTTTTTGTTTTCTCTTGGTATCTATGTTAAGACCATGTTTTTCTTTTCACATTATACCATTTTTCTTCTTCTAGCTCTGCACTAATTTACATCTTTTAACTCAAATGTAACCATACCTATTTATCGTAAGTCAACTAATAATATAATGTATAAGGAAGGTATTTCTTTAATTGATGATCCACGAGTTACCAGAACAAAATTTTGATGCAGATCATCTATATATAAGTACAAGTTGACATTTTATAGTCATATGTCAAGTTAATAAATTTTCGATGGATATTTACTTTAAAGTAGTACAAACAGTAGAGTAATACCAGGTAATTTTGATATTAAAAGTATTAAGCACAAAAGTTTTTCATTAAAAAGTTTACCTTGGACGAATGTGACATTTGCTATGTAATATATTTTAGAATAATTATACATATATATGCATTTAATCTTAGTTCCACCCTATACTATACATATACTATCTTTTTTTTTAATTTCCAAGCTTCTTAGAGTAGATTATTTTTTATGAAATAGAGCTCGCTCAATTTGAATCCAGGCAAGTATAATTAGATCACCTATGTGTATATATTAACTGCCCATAATCTATGTACAGAATTGGGCTAAATTGAGACCTTCCAAACTAAATATTTTGAATTTGCTTATTTATTTAATTAAGTGAACTCAGCATAAATCAGACCACCTGCAGGAAACAATGTAGATTCAAGTGCCCTAGTTTTTTTGTCTTTCCTGTTCAATTTTAGTAATATAGTGGTTTTTCTTTTTTTAAACCTTTTTTTTTAGAGCTAAATGCTTCTCTTTTTTGTAGATCAGTTTGTTGAACTTGGTCATTTCTGCTAGGCAAGTTGCCATTTATTGGTGAATGTAATGTGTTGTTTGTTTTTCATATCTATTTTTTTATCGGCACTACTACTTTTATCTTGTAGATCCAGTTCGTTGACTTGAAATTGGCTGAAATCTGAAATTTTACGTGTATTCTTGCAAAATTCCTCTATATTATTTCATAGTAATTTTCCTAATGTAAAGTTTCATGTAGAGTATTTTATGAAGTTATGTAACATGCTAGTAGATTATTCAATATTGGATGCTGTTATTATAAAAGAAACTTATTATCAACAAACTGTAAAGATGGGGCATGCCAGTGAAGTATTTAGTGTTGGAGCTGGAAAGTACAAACATAGTATATTCACTTATTGTCAAAAATCGGGGACGCTAGTGGAACATATAATAGTTGGATGTTACTATAATGAAATTAGAGTTGAAAAGGGCGAAAAGGTATTTATTTTATTATCAAAAATCTGTTAAG